GGCATCTGTGAGTTAATTCTGTCTTAGACTTTGGGTGGGGTATGTAGATTTTAGGTGTTTTTGTCTTCCTAAGCTTCTAGCTCCAACTTTCCTGAATGGTCTGTATCTGCATTTCTATAGAGCTGGTTTCTGCTTGGGGGAGGGAGACCTGGGGCTATTAAGAAAAACTGGGCATGCTTTTCTGCTTCTTTAAGATCCTTGAGGAAATATATTTTCCTGCCCCTTTAATATTTCCTTCTCTGCGGTGGCTGACTTCCCACAATTTGAATATAAAAACAACACATCTTTTATTTCAGCAGTGCTCAAATACTTTAATGTATAATTTGATGCTATTGGTGGATTAATTTAGACTATGGATTGAGATTGATGGTCATATAAACATAGGAAATCATGAGAAGAGAGACCTTTTTATTTTACTGGATTAATATAATTAAAAAAATAAAATGAGTACAAATAAATGAATAAAAATAGTTGATTCTGGTGTTTCGTATTCAAATGTCTTTCTAAGAGTACATGATAATCTTTTTTGATTCAAATACAAACAGGTTAATCCAAACTTCTTTAAAAATAATCAAATTCCAAAATTTTGGGATACAGTTTAAAAACATTTTAAATCTTAACTTCCTTCTAAGAACCTGGGTCACCATAGTAAAAGTATTCAGTCAATGAGAAGTTATGAAGGAGCATGACCAAACATATGTACTAATGTAATGTACATTCCCAGTACAAGAACCAACCTTTTAAAAACTTACATTCAGATCCATCCATTGAGATAATTGTCAATAAAAACATTTTTGTAACTTCTAAAAAATATTTCTCTAAAACATTCAAAATCATAATAAAACCCAGGTCATCACAGCAAATAAAAGGGATAGAAGTTAATAAAAAAGAATATAAATTAAGGGCCTTCGCGGATGACTTGGTGGTTACCTTATCCCAACCTACTTATTCTGTAATAGAACTACTACAATTGATATATCAATATGGACGGGTTTCGGGTTTTAAAATTAATAATAATAAGACTAAAATATTGCCCAAAAATATGACTAATCTGGATAAGCAGATTTTGGTCAACCTGACAGATTTTGAGGTTGTTAATAAGGTGAAATACTTGGGGGTTATTTTATCTGTTTCTAATGCAAAATTGTATAAAAATAATTATGAAAGGTTGTGGGTCAATATACAAAGAGATTTGAAAAATTGGGAGAAGTTGCAGTTATCTCTTTTGGGAAGAATTGCGGCGATTAAAATGAATGTTTTGCCAAAGTTTCTTTTTTTATTTCAAATGATACCTATTTTAAAGAATGAGGTTAATTTAGATGAATGGCAGAAAGGTATTAATAAATTTATCTGGGCAGGGAAAAAACCAAGAGTAAAACTTAAAATTATACAAGATATTCGCGAGAGAGGTGGACTCAAGATACCGAATTTGAAATTGTATTATGAAGCTGTGGTTTTAACATTAATAAGTGATTGGGTTAATTTAACAAATGTAGAAATATTCCTCTTGGAGGGTTGGGATTTACTTTTGGGATGGCATGCCTATCTAATTTTTAATAAAAAGGTCGATAGGGTTTTTAAATCTCATATTATAAGGATTTCTTTACTTCGGGTTTGGAGGAAATATTATAGAAGTGATTTTAAAATTCCATTATGGGCTATACCATGGCATGCGATAGAAGGGATAAGGAGAGGAGTTAAGATGGATAGTGTTTCTTATGCACAATTACTTAGATGGGATGGTAAAAATTGGCAGTTAAAATCTTTGGAAGATTTAACACAAGAAAATATTATTTACTCATGGTTTCAGTATAGACAAATAGTGGATAGGTGGAAGATAGATCGTAATGTGGGTTTGCTTAGAGAAGATGAAAACTTGTTAAAACAAATAAAAGATCAAAGACGAACTCACATTAAGAGAATTTATGGGGTGTTAGTAGAATTGGATTCAGAAGCAGAATTAGTCAAAGAATGTATGATTAAATGGGCACAAAATTTTGGTGAACCAGTTCTACTAGATACCTGGGAAATTATTTGGGTGAGGAATGTTAAATTTACACAAGCCCAAAACTTAAGGGAGAATTTTTACAAAATGTTTTATAGATGGCACCTTGATCCACAAAAAATGTCTCACATGTATCCTGACTTACAGCCTAAATGTTGGAGATGTGGATGTTTGGATGCTACTTATTATCATATCTGGTGGTCATGCAAAAATATAAAAGCTTTTTGGATTAAGATATGGTGGAATATTCAAAGAATTTTTAGAAGGAGGATAAAATTTACCCCACAATTGTTCTTGTTAGGTATTGTTATTGATTGTGATACTTAAGATACCATATTGATGTTAAATTTAATTACAGCCGCAAGGTTGTTAGTAGGACAATGTTGGAAGAAGGAATCTTTGCCTACTTTGCAAAAGTGGTTTTTTAAAGTTTCTTATTTGGCGGAAATGGCAAAGATTTCGGCTTTTTTGAAGGATCAATCGCAAGAGAAGTATTTTGTGGTATGGAAAAAATGGATAGATTTTATACAATATAAGTTGGATATAAAAAATATTATTTAGTTTTTCAATAACTTATATTTAAAATTTAAAATATTTTATAGACTTTATTCTTTTTTATTTTTATTTTTTATTTTTATTATATTTTCTTTTATCTTTTTTCTTTTCTTTTTATTCTTTTTTCTTTAAAGCATTTTTCTTTTGGTATTTAAGTTTTTCTATACATATATTATTGTTAATTATTTTATAATTTGTTCAATTAATGTATTTAGATTTATTCATGGTTTATATCTTTTTTAAGATTTTTTGAAGAAATTTTAATTAAGCCTGTATTCAGCTCTGGGGAAGGTCGGGGGAGGGAATGGGAGCGTTGGGGAGGGTTGGGGAAGGGTTGTTTTGTTTTTGTAAAATTTTAAAAAATTTTCAATAAAAAAAAAAACCCAGGTCAAATAGCTATTTTGGGCAAATAATTTTTGTAATTCTTCTAAAGCAAGTTATATGTTTAAAATTGATTAACTGATTAGCTAATTAAGGTAACCCATAATTTTACAACAAAGATTATTCCAAAGAATCAGTCTCTCATGAGAATAGAATTAATTTTTTATTTCTTACCCAACATTGTCCAGTTAGATCTGGATACCTTGAGTACTAAACTTTCAGGAGCCAATCACTTGTCGAGATTTCAGAGGTGACAACTAATAGCTCTTCAGTATAGCCAGTACAGCGGTATATAATCAATGTCATCTTCATTTGAGTAGGAAATTAACAATTATCCCAATGCTTTTTTTAAATGTTTCATTTGAAAGTAGCAACGTTTAGAGGGAGAAACTGGGAGTTTATCTGAACAATGTATATGGCTGCCCATTTCATTCTCATGACTATGTTTGAATATTTGTATTCAAACTTAATCATTAATGTAACTTACAGTAGCCTAATAAATAGCAATTCTCAGATTATTTTCTTTTTTATAACATTTATTTTTCCCAAGAGATTCATGTGTATTTTCAACCATTTAGTAATGTCACCATTAAGTTGCATTAGATCAGGGGTGTCAAACTCAATTTCATTGAGGGCTGCATTGGCATTGCGGTTGCCCTCAGGGGGGCGGGTGGGTGTGGCCTACTGGGTGGGCATGGAGTGGGTGTGGCCTACTGGGTGAGCGTGGCCAGCTCTACATCATTCATGTCAAAGGTGCCTGTAGGGGCTTGGGCAGGAGTGGGACAGATCTGAGGGTGTCTGGCAGAAGGGGGTGGGACCAGGGCAAGTGCTAAGGCATGGTCCACTGGAGAAGCCTCACTGTTCCTCTCAGGCCATGCAGGGAGGCTGGATGGTGGTGCGGGCTGCCGGGAGCCCTGGGCAGCAGAGGTCAAACATCCAGCCTGGCCCTCAAGCACCCGTGGCACCCAGCCCAGCCCCACTTCTCCAAGGGGGTGCCCAGCTGCACTTACCTAAGATTGAATGTGTTTCAGCATAGATGGTCACCACAAAATTGTACATTGGCTCCCGGCCGGCCTGGGCCAGGGCCAAGGCAGCAGGGGCCGTTCCCTCACTGTTCCCAGGATGGCTTTGCGGGCCACATGAAACCACTTCGCAAGCCGCATCCACTTCTTTTTGGATTTGCACCACCCGGTTCAGCCTTTTGGCGCTGTGAGGAAAGCGCCCCGCTGCCTGCCAAAACTGGGCAGTCTGGGGGCTGGGCGGCATTGCGCAGGTAACATTGACTCTCATGCGGCTCATGGCATCCCCTCCCCTATGTGCTGGCCACTTCCAGGCGATGGTGCATTTCTTCATTCCTCATGAAGGGTGACACCTCCCTAGCTGCGTTTCTTGCCTGTTTTTCTCCCTCCCTCATCTCAAATATTTTCCCATCACTCTGAACTTAGGAAGGAAGGAAAGAAGGAGAGGGAGAGTCTGAGGGAAGTCCTGCCTTAGTCCTGCCCTGCTGCCCTTTCACCATCCCCTTGCCTCCTCCTCCTGGCCTATGCATCATGCCGGAACAGCGCCCACCCCATTGCCGGCAATGGGGGGAAAGTCGCTATACGTCACGCGACGTCACGAGTTTGACATGCCTGTTTTAGAGGATGTTTGACAAGCTGGGGAAGAATGTCACAGCAGTAGCAGCTGAATCTGCAACTGCACCAATAATTGTGTCAAATTAAGGAATCTGGCTATACTTGAAGGGAGAAGAATGGAAGAAAGATTTGTAATAAAATTTATAAATAATTTGTAGTAAAATTTGTAAATAAAAAAGATGAATTAAAAAAATTAATGAACCTGTAATACAGGTACTCCTTGGGTTACGACTGCATTTGGGGCCAGGATTGCCATTGCTAAGTGATGTGACTGTAAAACACAAGGTCACATGACCACATCACCTACTGATGGCTATCCATCTGCCTCACCCCCAATCTAACTATTTCAGCCAATTTGGGACAACTGGCTGGTAAGCAGCACAACACCACTCAGTACTTTAATTAGATAAGAAAAAGAAGGACACTTTAAAAGTGCAACAATTTATATATTTTACACACCATTTGACAATATTTCATCATTTTAATGCATTTATCAGTAGCAATATGGCAAGGCTATTTAGTTGTCCAATTCTAAAATAAATAAATACATAAATAAACCTCAGAGAAACAAGTGACCAATTTAAATATGCAATGTCAAATATTGTTTAAATAGCATTGATTTAAATATTATATGTTATCATTATTTTTTATTGTTTGGCATCACCCCACCAAAAATATATGGGACAAATATGAACAAAAGGTAGCTGAGTGAGAAGGTAACATAAAAGAGAGAACTTGTAAACAGGAAATCAGTTTTTGCATTTACTTCACCATTGCTTTCCCCTGCACCTCTTTTGGGATCATTCAAAAAGTAAAGTTGGAAATTCAAGAGGTATGGAGAAGCAGCAAGCAGAGGAAGGATTAAGTAACTGTTGTTCGCCTATTGTTCCCCCAGATTTTTCCAGTTCCTTGTTGGCATCTTATATGTTGCCAAATATTTACTTTAGCTTACATTGATTAAGAAGGTCTCAAAAGATTGTTTCAATTCTGTAATTCTTGAGTGTAAGATTTCTGTGAATAGAGCTAAAATTTTATTAATGAAGGCAAATACACATGTCCTAGGATAACGTTGCAAGATCCAGTCTGAGTCAGACACTGGGACCAGAGGTTTAGCTGGCTCAGGAATTCTGGGAGTTGAAGTCCACGAGTCATAAGAGCCAAGGTTGCCTATCCCTGCCATAACTCATTGGTAGCCTCACATTGCAATGAACAAGGACATACATTCAATTTTGCAGCTACTAAGATTGTTGGATGAACAGGCACAAAAATAGTGAGGAAAGTGATTGAAGCTTGGGAAAGGGGCCCCTCATTAATCAACAGGAATGCTGATTTACCACCAGCTTATCAAGTATGTAGGAGGTGAGGGCTTGGTAGCACAAGGAAACAATAGCCAATGACTGAATAGCTAGCCATTAACACCCCAATCAACACCTAAAAAAACCACACACAACAGGCACCATATAAATACAACACAGAGAATAGCCCAAAGCACACACTTTGCTAGAGAACTTCCCTAAGGATGGGCTCCAAGCATGAATCTGAAAGATTAAACCTCTGGTCCCAGGGGACTGGCCCACATTAGAGTTAAAGTTTATAAGTTTAATAACAGAATACAGAGTTGGAAGGGAGGTCTTCTAGTCCAACCCTCTGCTGAAGCAGGAAATCCTGTACCATTACACACAAATGGTTGTATATTTTGAATGAAGTCATTGAAATCTTATGAGGCCATTCCTGTATAGTGTTTCTCTGAAAGCAAGACCTAACTTTATATAGGGCAAAAGAATTCATACAGGTAGTCCTCAACTTATAACCATTTGATTGAAGTTACAGTGGCAATGAATTTTAGATTTTGCTTCTTTCTTATTTGAGAAATAAATACGTTTAAAATGTCTGCCTATTTGAAAAATCAAAGGCATTAGTAACCGGAAATATACTTGGAATTACATTCTGAAAGAAAAAAAGAGCCTTTATTATGCCACTATAGCTTTTTAACTGGATAATAATATTCAAAATGAACTTTGTAAAAAAAACATCTTTTGCAGAATTTGCTGCTTTTATCATTTCTACATTAATTGCCACTTGGGGTCTATATTCCAATTTGTATTTTCTAGTCATGTTATTTATAAAATTTGTCAGGCCACCCAACTCAACTTGGTGGTACTAAGTACCTCATAACACAAAAATGAAAAACACAATATATCAGTTTTTTAAAAAGCACTGCAGTGAAATTGAGGCCTTTGAGGCTGTCATACAGTCAAAATGTCATCCACACCAGGTTGTTTACAATTTGGCCTCAGGGAAAAGCCAAGCCAAGCCAAGGCTTTAATAAAGGCTAACCAAGACAAGACTATCTGGATGTTATTTGATTGCATGTTGCATTGTTTTTAGTATATCGTACAGTACATTGACTGGCATACTTCAGTGGAATGCTGGACTGCAAGTAAATAATTTGCCCCTTGAATAGTAAGGTGAGTTTGCTAAGGACTAAACAAAAACTGTGAAAAGAGAACAGTATAAATAATTTCACATTATATCTCTTTGTGGCTAAAAATGTCTACATCAGCTAAAAATGTCTACCTTTCCAGCTCGACCCAGTGTGGAGGACGGACATGAATGGCAGATGCATGCACCTCCATTTGTGTGAACGGTGTACGCCTATGACCACTCGCGCAAATGGAGTGCACGCCTATGACCACTCGCGCAAATGGAATTTCACACTTCACTCACACAAGCAGCAGTCAACCACAAGGAAGCTCCACTCGAGAGAGTGGCAGCCACTTGCGCTCACACACAATGCTCCACTCCTGCAGGTCAGTTTCAAACAGGCCACGGCCCAGTAGTGGGTAGCAGCCCAGGGGCTGGGGACCCCTGGTCTACACTACTATTTTTGTGGAAAGGTATGAGGATACCTGACAGGATGGAGGGGGAAGAAGAAGAGCTTGCATTCATGGAAGAAAAATATATATTAGTACAATTAAGAAAAATTAATTCAGATACATTTTTAAATTAAAATATGAGTAGAAATCATAAATCTATGTATAATATAGACATATATATGGATTTGTTAATACTCATTTTAAAAGGAATAGACTTCAAGTCAAAATTATATTAATATTTAGAACTTATTACTGAATATCACTGATGAATATAGGTTCTTTTTGCTTCTGTAAGTTCTTTTTAAATGTCAGTTGATTCAAAATAACTTTATCTAATTGTTATCATTATAAGTGCCTTTGCTTCTTGCTAACACAGGAATATCATGCAACAAAAAGTTGTTGTGAAGAAATCAGAGTTCAGATACTGAAGAACCATAATCTCCACTCAAAAATGATTTTGGATACACTGCTGGTTGGAGAAAGCCTCCGGCTGAGAAATGTGTCCATGGGTCTTGATTAGGTGAGTCAAAATAAACTCATATGAAGTTGAAAATATTATCCTAGGAAGAAGATGGAGAGCTCAGCTGCCTGAATGAAAGGTGGCCCATCCATTTCTATGTGATGACCATTTTCACTTTTGTAATCCTTTGCCTACACCCCAGCTTCTTAAAGTGCTGCCTCTATTTCCATTTGGTTCGCTTCCACCTTGAGAAAATCTGCATGATTGTTCTGAAGTCTAGAAGGTTTGTTGAGAGAAATGCCATCCAGCCTCTTCTCTTCCTCCTCATCAGCCTCTTCCTGAGCCCAATGGGGCATGCAGTCATGTTCAGAGTTGCTCCTAACATACCCAGGCAAATGTATATGGGCATCGTTCTGCCCTGTGCCATTCCTGCATGCCTTGCTGGAAACCAGCCTCATGCGGGAGCTGGCACCCATCTGAGCCTGGCTGCTGGTGCTCTGGGTCATGTTAGTGAGGACAGAACCACAGTGAGAATTCCTACAAGGAACAGTCCTCTTCCAGTCTGTGGCCAAGTTCCATTTAGCCCATGTCTTTTTGAGCTCAGCTTGCACCTAAGGAAATAGAAAATGTCCAGATCAAAATGCCAGGAAGAAGCCAATGTTCTGAAGAGCTTATCTCACCTTCACTTAGAATTAAGCTTTTCATTTAATAGTATATTTATAACTGAATATACTATACTCTTTCATAGGAATTTATAGTTTGCTACGTAGCACACTTTTTAAGGTATTGAATTGGGATTAAGGAAATCCAGATTCAGGTTTTCCCTCAACCAAAACATTATCTAGATGATCTTAGATCAGTTACTATCACTTGGCCAACGATCCCACAGAGTTATTGTTGTGGATGAATTGGAAGAGGGCTATCCCTACAGTATATATTTACTGACCACGTCTGTAGAGGAAAGATGGGATATGAATAGAATAGAATAGAACATAGAAGGGACCTTGGAGGTCTTTTAGTCCAGCCCCCTGCTCAAGCAGGAGAACCCATACCATCTCAGACAAGTGACTGTCTAGCCTAGCCTCTTCTTAAAAATCTCCAGTGATGGAGCACCCACAATTTCTGAAGGCAAGCTGGTTAATTGTCCTCACTGCCAGGAAGTTTCTCCTTAATTCCAGGTTGCTTCTTTCTTTGATCAATTTCCAACCATTGTTTCTTGTCCTGCCCTTTGGTACTTTGGTAAATAACATTACCTCCTCTTTTCTGTGGCAGCCCCTCAAATACTGGAATACTGCTATCATGTCTCCCCTATTTCTTCTTTTCTTTAGACTAGCCAAACCCAAGTCCCGCAGCCATTCTTCGTATGTTTTAGTCTCCAGGCCTTTGATCATCTTAGTTGCTTTTCTCTGAATTTTTTCCAAACTCTGAACATCTTTTTTGTAATATGGTGACCAAAATTGGCTGCAGTATTTCAGGTATGGTCTTATTAGGGTTTTACAAAGCAGTACTAATACTTTGCATGATCTTGATTCTATGCTTTTTTGGCTGCTGCTGCACACTGCTGACTCATAGTCAAGTGATCGTCCACTAGGAGTCCAAGGTCCCTCTCACAGTTACTGTTTTTAAGCCGAGTCTCACCTAACCTGTATTTGTTCCTTTGATTTTTCCTGCCTAAATGTAAATATTTGCTTTTCTCCACCTTGAAACTCATTTTGGATAGGGCCCATTGTTCAAGCTTATAATAAATATATTATATCGTAAATGCCGGCATATAAGACGACTTCCGCGAGCGCTGAAATCGGTGCCAAAGACGGGGGTCGTCTTATACGCCGAGTCGTCTTATACGCCGGAAATACTGGTAGTTTCCGGCGTATAAGACGACGTTCTAGGAATGCAGCCCGGCTATAAAGACGGGGGTCGTCTTATACGCCGGGTCGCCTTGTACGCTGGCATTTACGGTAATTAAAAATAAGTAGTAGGTAGTGAATAGGGGACTACAGCTAAAAGGATATGGAGCAGCAGTAGTATAGCATATATCATGGGAAAAGAAGGAGTCACTAACAGCACAAGCTTTGGTGATAGAATTAGTTTCAATTCTATTCCCATTATCATAAGATTTGAATTGATTTTAAGCAAAACAAGAGATGTTCCAGAATAAAAGTTACATGTGCATACTGGTTCTAATGACTGAAAAATTACAAGTCTTCAAAATAATATGTTTTTGTATTCTATGCAGATACTATGATTGATAATATATTAGTCAGACCTCTCAACTTCCTTTCTATACCAAAAATAAATCTGAAGAGATAATTAGCCAAGTATATTAAAAGTGAGAGCTGAATCATAAGCAAGATTCTGATGCATACTTATTATTACACTTAACCATTCAGTTAAGATGGACATCATTCACCCTTTATTACTTAATTTTTTTTTGTAAAGCAGGATTCAATAATACCTGACTTACAAACCATGCTGTCACCTTCCATGGCAACATTTCATTGGGTATATAATCATAAATAAATGCTAAGAGTCAGGGCAACCCATATAATCTCCCTCTCATGCAGAGAAAGTTCCAGTTGACATTAATCAAATATAGCTTGAGCTATGTAACTTTGTAACTAACAAATCCCATTGATTTAAATAAATCTACTCTAAGCATGAATAAATTTGGATTTAATACAGTTATTGAAACCTATGACAAATGATATAGTTGCTTCTGTTTACTGTTCTACAGCTAGGGAAGAAGAGATTTATTTCAGGTGAACTTTAGAAGAGGAGGAGGCCAGCTTTGTTTTGCCTTCGTTCTTTTGCTGCCCTCTCTGGAGGAGATGGTATTTGTTCCCCAATTGCCTTCAACCAGGTGAGAAATCCATCTCAGTTTGAATAAGAGGTGGAGAATCAGAAAGAAAAAGGCATCCATGCAAATGTTGAACATTGTTTTTTTCCAGTTTCATTTTGTAGGTTGATCCAAGTTGTTTCCTTACTAGAACAATGGACCCTATCCAGTGATGGGATTCAAATATATGAACAACCAGTTCTCTGTGTGGATCCCGCTTCTGGAAGTCCATTCTGGGCCTGGGCAACAAAAAATTAGCTACCGGTTCTGCCGAAGTGGTGCGAACTGGCTGAATCCCACCACTGGCCCTATCCAACAAAATGAAATTTAATGTAGAGAAAGGTAAGGTTTTAGACTTAGGCAGGAAAAACCAAAGGTACAAATACAGATTAGGTGAGACTTGGCTCAAAAACAGTAACTGTGAGAGGGAACTTGGAGTCCTGGTGGACAATCACTTAAATATGAGTCAGCAGTGTGCTGCAGCAGCCAAAAAAGCGAATGCAATCCTTGTTTGCATAAATACAGGGATAGAGTCAAGATAATGTGAAGTATTAGTACTGCTTTATAAAACCTTAGTAAGACCACACCTGGAATACTGCATCCACATTACAAAAAATATACTAAGACTTTGGAAAAAGTGCAGAGAAAAACAACTAAGATGATTAAGGGCCTGGAGACTAAAACATATGAAGAACTGTTGCAGCAATTGGATATGGCCAGTCTAGAGAAAAGGAGAAATAGAGGAGACATGACAGCAGTGTTCCAGTATTTGAGGGGCTGTCACAAAGAGGAGGGAATCAACTTATTTTCCATAACACCAGAAGTCAAGACAAGAAACAATGGATGGAAATTACTCAAGGAGAGAAGCAACCTAGAATTAAGGAGAAACTTCCTAACAGTGAAAACAACTGATGGAACAGCCTTTGCCTTCAGAAGTTGTGGGTGCTTCATTACGGGGGGCTTTTAAGAAGAGACTGGACAGCCACTTATCTGAAGTGGTATAGAGTTTCCTGCTTAAGCAGGGAATTGGACTAGAAGACCTTCAAGGTCCCTTCCAAATTTATTCTGTAACTAAATCTATTTTGTTCTAACCCACCCCCTTTCTTTGCACCTGAAAAATAAATTATGAATTAAATTGTGCAAGTTCTTTGATATTTCCCTTTTCCTTTTCTTTCAATCATTAGCTCTTTGATCTTAATCAACATAAATAAGCAATGCATATTTTGGGGGTTCAGCAGTCTCATTTTGACAGTAAATTTAATCTACTATACATCCCAGCCACTCTGCTAGATACAGAAAGGATAGCTAGCCACAAGCAGAGGTAGTTTTCCATGCACATCCCCTTGAAATAAAGAGGCACAGATGAATTTTCTCCATGAAGGAGAAAAGACTGTTGGGAGAGTGCAACATGAGGAGTTGGAGGAGGGGAGGATAAGAACTCCGCCTGAGAGAGACAGAGGGGCAACCCATGGCATCCCTTTGCACGATTATGAAAATACACACACACACACGCACACACACACACACCACCACCACCACCACCACTACCACCACCAACTGCATAACCATTACCCACTAGAAACTTACCTCTCCATTACAGTAACAATAGATGATAGAGACAAAAAATCCCTGGAAGAATTGAGAATAAGAATTTAAAAAAGAACATAATTATCATTATCTTGAACCATAAACTAAATGAATATATTTCACAATCAAATCTATACCTATAGCATGGGCCAGATTTATTGTAACAGGATTGGGGTTGGAGTTAAGGTTAGTATTGTTATAAGGACTAAAGAATCTGAATTATGAGTATCATTAAGCATTAAGTTTATTGTATAAATTATAGGAAAGTTATAACTAGGGTGAGTGTTAAAGTTCATGGTTAATATTGTTAATATTGACAGCAGGGTTATGTTTTAGTGCTAAGGCTTGGTATTAGTTTTCATGATTAATGTTAGCATCAGGGTTGAATTAGGATTAGGTTCGGCTCAGGTTGGAGTTAAGATTAGGTAGATAGGATTAAATAGTTTTGATTGGTTTAGGTTTAGTGCTAGATTTGTTGTATACAGTTAGAGCAATATTGGGATTAAGGTTAGCCAAACTAATGCTAACAAAATCTAGGGTTATTAGAATTAAATTAGTATTACAGCTTGTCAAGATTTAAAACAGGAGTGTCAAACTGCCGGCCCACAGGCCAGATGCGTCACGCCAAAACTGTGCCCACCCCATTGCCGGCAATGGGAAAAAAAGTCAGGATACGTCATGACACGTCACGTGATGTCGCGAGTTTGACATCCTTGGTTTAAAGCCATGCTAAATTAAGGGTTTGATAACATTGGCGTTAGGATTCATGTTTACTATTAGCAATAGAGTTTTAAGGTTAGTTCTGCTGTTAGTGTTAAAGATAGTTTTAAGATTAATTTAGTAATGGCTTTATAATATAAATTTAACATTTTCATTGTGTAGGTAATAGACTCCCATCAACCTGTCTGGGTAGGTTTTATTTTATTTTTGAATGTATAACAATCAAACATTAATAAAAAGGGTTTGTGAGAGATCCAAGATTGGTTTTGGCTCTATATATGCCCCGGGGAAACCAAACTCAATAAATTTTGTAGTATAATGTAAGCACATAATCTCATTCTTCTAAGAAAAAATTTGTACAATATTTGCTATGTGTTACTAGGAATTCTTAGATTTGTTTAAAACCACAGCAAGAATATAGCTTTATCTGTAAGTGTTATTTTCATTCCACTCTTTCATTCTAGAAATAATTTTACAGTTTTTCAATGATCAGGTGATGCAATGAAAAAAGTGTAGAGGAAACAGAAGAGATTCTGAAATTTTATAAAATAGATTTCACTTCAAAATAAATTCAATTTGCAGATTTGATGGAACAGGATTGTTGTATTTTTTATTGATGCAACAGAGATTGGAAGGTATTAAATGTTATGGCATGATCACCGTGCTGAAGCTGTATTTCATTTGCTTTGCTCCAAGGACTGTATTGTTTCATAAAGTAGGCTCAGAGCTTACTTCACATCTTTAATGCAAAAGGTTTTAAGTGCAAATACTGCCAAAGAATCTTGGATCGTCACATACATAGAAAAGGGTTTTACAAAAAAAACTCCACCAATAAATATTTTTTCAGGGCTTTCTTGTGCCAATCCTTTAAGAAAACAACAGAAGGATATTGTGGAGCTTTAGAAGCAAACAGATTTCTTATGACATGGGATTGAGACCTGCAATCAATTTTGCTACAAATACATACTAACTCCTATGATCAAACTAAAAGATCAAAAGCTAGCTACCGTACATCTGGAGAATTATGGGAAAGCTGGGGCTTCTTTTATGCAGCATCTTCAACAGAAAAGAGGAATAAGAAGTCCTTGGAATCATCTCTGTTCCTAGTCTTATATGTGCAGACTAAATTGCATGATTACAATATAAGTATTATTTGCTTTTCAATTATGCAATTCCTATTCATTAGGCATCTCTTGCCCTGCAGCAAGCAATACGGCAATGTGGCCCTGGTTTTGTATCTGAAAATCTGAGTGGTTCATAAATGATAAAGTAGTACTATGGCACCAGACCTGGAATGAATTGAAGAAGAGTTCACAGTGCATCCGGATCTCCCAGCCTAACCCAGTGAACGTGTGAGGTAGGCACACGAAGACAATGTAATGCACACCAAAGACCAGGATCAGAATTAAAGTGGATTTTGCTAGTTTTCTGGAAGAAAGTTAACAGAAATTATAATTATGAGACTGCCACATGCTGCATAAGATGAACACGATATAAATTGCAATCTTATACATTCCAAGCTTCTTAGCTGTCCAGGGTATTTGCCAAAGGGGAATGTATAAGTTTGGACAAACCATAGTCACTCATGTGGAAACTCTATCTCAGAGGTCCCCAACTTTTTTTTTGGCTTTGCAGACCAGTGGGGGAGGGGAGGGGAGAGAGAGGGGGATGGTTTCTCATACATTGTGGGCAAGCGGGTACACATGTGCAACTTATTTGCAAGAGTACCGGGCAGGTGCACCTGCCACTCACACAAATGGAGTGTGCGAGTGCCTGCACCTCCCACTTCCGCAGCTCAGTTCTCAAAGGCTCAAGGCCTGGTAGTGGACCATGGCCCAAGGGCTGGGGACCCCTGCTCTAGCTGGAATATTTGATGATCTCACTCAAGGCCTAGAAATCTGTATAGGTTGGCCTGGTTAAACCACAGACCAAAGATTTCCTATTCTTCATTTTGATGCTGGAGAGAATATTTCTGGAGTTGTTTGTTATGATGCTTGTCATTCTTCCTATTGCTTTAATCTCATGACTATCTTTTCCTGTACAGTACATAAACTTTTGTTGCAAAATTGAAACAAGAGTAGCAATTTACTATTCAGAACGTTGCTGCTTATTTTGCTTTAGCTTTGATTTTGATTATCAGATAAACATAGTTAAATATGGCTTATATCATTGCTTTACATTTTTTTCTCTAAGGGTAATTGGCTTGCAGCATGGAACTTGGTAAAGCATATTTATCCATCCACCCCTGCAATGTCTGACTTTAATTAACTCAATAGCAAGACTAAAAAAAAAAAAAAATAGTAACAACACACCCAAATGCTTCTAGTTTTAATTGGGAGCCTCAGTTTACAAAGATTGGTGAACTACAAAAACACATTGTATAAAAGTATAGCATATCAGCAGTTTATCCTGGGTGAATATTAATTTGATCTTTTTATTTCTATTTGTGTGCAGGGAGTGTGTGTGGGAGGAATGTCTTGGTCTACTGTTTTCAACCTGATTGTGAATTGTGATTTGACAAATAGATCTTAATAGTTACATGAGAGGACTTCAAATATTTGGAAACCTTATTATGAAATAAATTTACAATTTGTCTGCATCTCATCTATATGTGTTTCTGTATCTGTGAAGTTACATATTTAAAATTCTTGCTAGCTGCTTTCAAGCTGGACAAAAGAGACACAGTATGCCAGGGTATTGTAACAATAAATTTTAGATTTCTTCATCATCTCTTTTGAGTAGCAATCCCTTTTTATTCATCAAATACAACTGGAAAATCCAGATAATAGAACTGCCAGTCCATTAACTGCCAGAAATCTAACACATTCATGAATTTTCATGTAAAACTGGCTTGAATGTGATTACTTACTAGATAAGCCAACAAGAAGAAGGAATATACAGACTGTCTGGGCAATTATGGTGAGGAAGGGCCATCATTCAGAAATCAAGTGGTTCTTTGCATGCAGAAGGTTCAATTACTATATTTTTCAGAGGAGACTAGTAAAGGTCATTGTCTAAAATCCTGGCAAGCTAGATGAAAAAAAAGGTTTATTCCCTAGAAGCCTGCTTCTGTTCCCAGAAATTGCAATTGTGGTTTCATTAGTCCTGGATTAACTATTATGCAAAATAAATACATGCTTAGAGAAGGAAGGGAAGTGGGCATCACAGAGTTTTATTCCCCTAGCTATCATGCTCTTAACTCTTTCCCTGCCACATTCAAGTTTTATTCAGCACTTACTGAGTCAAAAGTCTCCCATAGAAGAAAATATTTATAACTCAGGATTAAATTATGGGGACCTTGGTGCTCTCTGAACTTGATGGTTTCCTTGCAGATGTTTTACTGCTGAACTAGGTAACATCACCAGTGCACTGATGATATTATTTAGTTTGCTAATGAAATGTCTGCAAGAAAATCACCAAACTCATAATGTCTCATCAGTGAAGCAATGGAAGGGTTCTGCTTAGGACATCAGTTGGCCTCAATATATTCCTGACATTAATCAATTCAGCACCACCCCAACATAAGTTAGGTTCTTCTAAGTCATAGATTAGTAATTCTATGAAGACAGTATTGGCTTTCTCTTGTATTTGTATTTGTATTTAATTTTATTTATATGCCGCCCAATCCCAAAGGACTCAGGGCGGCGTACAGAGTTAAAACAATCATAAAACAATAAAATAATACAGTCATACCGCGAGTCCGATCATATCCCGCCCCCCCCCGGGGACATCAGCCCCAGGCCTGCCGGAACAGGAGAGTTTTAACAGCTTTCTTAAAGGCCGGCAGGGTGGGAGTAGTTCGAACCTCGGGGGGAAGTTGATTCCACCAGGTCGGAGCCACCACAGAAAACGCCCTTCCCCGAGGGCCCGCCAGCCGACATTGTCTGGCTGACGGGACCTGAAGGAGGCCCAAGCTATGGGACCTCACCGGTCTCTGGGAACTGTGCGGCAGAATGCGGTCCTGTAAGTAACCTGGCCCTATGCCATGAAGGGCTTTAAAGGTGATAACCAACACCTTGAATTGCGTCCGGAGACCCACAGGAAGCCAGTGCAGCTCGCGGAGGATAGGTAACACGTGGGCGTACCTTGGCGCGCCCCCACAATCGCTCTCGCGGCTGCGTTCTGAACCAACTGCAGCCTCCGAACGCCCTTCAAGGGTAGCCCCATGTAGAGCGCGTTACAGTAATCCAGTCTTGAGGTGACAAGGGCATGAGTGACTGTGAGTAAAGCCTCCCGGTCCAAATAAGGCCGCAACTGGTGCACTAGGCGAACCTGTGCAAAGGTCCCCCTGGCTACAGCCGATAGATGTTGTTCCAAATTTAGCTGTGAGTCCAGGACGACACCCAAGTTGCGTGCCTGCACTGAGGGAGGTAAATTTGCCCCCCCCCCCAGTACTAATGATGGACAATCCAGTTGGCCTTTGGGAGGCAAGACCCAGAGCCACTCGGTCTTGTCAGGATTGAGTCTAAGCCTGTTCACCCCCATCCAGACCCTCACATCTTCCAGGCACCGGCACATCACGTCGACTGCTTCACTGAACACACTGTTAACGTGTGTTCTTTTTCTTCTCTTTCTAAATAGTTTCCAATATTCAAGAAAAGCTTTTATGACTCAATATGCATTGGCAGAATTACTAAGAAATAATTGCATTTTGGTGTGAAAATACCCCTGAAGATGAAGAAATGAAAGATAATTTGATTATAGAATATATGTTTCACTGTGTTACTCTGCTGCTTCTGTAATCATTTTTAGAAAGACCAGAATCGGAAAGGAGTCTGTCAAACACTGAAATGTCTAGATTTAAATCAAATTCTGCAGCCAATGCCAAGAATCAAAAATGATTCCGCTTTTTCACAAAATATCTGCACTTTCTTTTCAGTTTAATTTCATGCAGAGCTTGGTATACAAAACCTACCAGTAATGTCTTGGCGACATTTCGACAAAGTCCCATTCGTCATCATTCATACCCCCACTAGCAGTTAAAAGGAAGAAACAGCTATGATCACACATTGCGCCTAGAAGCAAGAAGCCGAAAACACCAGCCTGAAGATGACAAATTGGACTTCGTCAAAACGTTGCTTTCAATTTTACGCGGGAGAAAACCCGAATAACCAAAGACCTATATATATATATATATATAAACTATACATATACATATACATACACATACATACATACATACATAGTTTAACTGAAATTAATCCTCCTATCCTTTGAGCTCATTATATATAGTCCAGCCATTTGAGAAAGTAGAGAAATTGTCTTTGCCTTTTTTTTATACAACCAGTCCTTCAGGAGTCTAACTTGGCTTTTCTCCAGGCAAAAGATAACCAATATATTTCCAAATAGAAGACTTCTTCATTACAATTAAAAAAAAAAACATTCTGTCTGACCAAGTCAGTTCTAGTAGAGACTGCTTCTAAAAATACACCATACCTATATTGCTTTCTGACATCGTAGCCAACAGCATTTGTTTCCCAAATTTTTGTGGCCAGCACCCGCACAGTATTCAGGAAGAGAACAAAGTTCAGCTGTAAAACAGAATTGTTTTATTCCATCATCTTTTAGAGGTATGTTTTGGAATGTTTTGAGGACGTATTTCAATACTTTCTTATATCTGGAACATAATATTGTCAAGATGACCAGGCGGCAAAACTGAACTAGTATAAAAAGTCCAGAATCTGTATCTAGCCACTTCCAATATTAGTATCCCACCTATCTAAGAAGCTCTCCAATTTTGATCTTGGCTGTTGCACAGCTTCTGAGAAGCTATTGTAGTTGAAAAATACATGACTCTGCAAAGTTTTGAATAAAAGTGGCCAAGATAGTGACAGCCACATTTATTTAACTGCTTCCTAGACTAATTCCTTTATTAAATCTCTGATTTCTATATTATATAATAAATGGTCTCATAATTGCCAAAATGCCACTTTTCTGAACTTCACACTGAGAACTGTAAGGAAGCAAAGCTAGAACAGTCTTTTCCATTATGAAAAAATAAATGATGCACCACAGTATTGGAGCTGGGTAGAAAAACCAGTATATTTACAATTCCATTTGCAACTAATTGCAACAAAAGCAATGCCAACGGTGTTGAGTTACCCTGCTGTCTTAAGTGAGCCAGACCAGGAGCTGGCACACAGGGGTTGGAATGGGACAACTCACCATGGCCACGGGACAACTTGCTGCAGCAAAATTCAACATGGAATGACTCAAGAGAGGGACAAGTAGAATTGCAGCTCATCCCAGCCTTGAGGACTTCTAACTTGAGAAGGCTTAAACATAAAGCAAGACAAAGCCTGCTGCAATTCACTTGCCCCTCTCTCGAGTTATCCCAGGCTGAGTTGTCTCGGGATGAAATGGCCAGGGTGAATCAGCCAGGGCAAGTTGGCTGTCGCAAGTTGGCCACAGCGAGTTGTCCTAGAGGGGTGATGGTGAAGCAGGATTCATCCCAAGAGATGCACCAGCAGTGTGCATGCCCGACAAAGCAATGCACCTTGCACCTTAAAGTACAGAATAAGACTTTAAGAAATACAACATAAGTTAACTGCATCTTTTACTTTTTTAAAAAGAGGAGATGTAATTTTATCTTTCAACAGGCAATTTAAAGTGGCAGCTTTAAAAGGATGTGCAGTTCACTGCTGAAATAATTCAAACAGCTCAAAAGAATAAAAAGCAGTGCTATAACTTGGCATGTGTGCCAGAGAAGGAGTGTTTTGTTCTCACATATCAAAAGCAGTCACAGCATCTCATTCCTGATTGTGACATAAAATGTCATCTCCTGTTCTATAAAGTACAACAAAAAAGAAAGCATCAATTAAAGTGATTGCTCAACTCTTTGCCAGCCAGAATGCTTTCTTGCACAGGGACAAAACTGTCCAGGAGTATGGAAAAGGAAATATCAAATGAGAGCAAGCTCCTGGATTAAAAAAGAAAACAGCAAAACTGTAGCTGCAGAATAGATCTGATTGTAATAAAGCTACAGTTTTAAGCCACTCTCTTCTCCTTTCCCTTGAAAGACTGGAAAAAGAGAAAGAACTTCAGCTTTCAGACTTTCTTTAACAGTAAGAACATAGAAAACTATCTTTAAGGGAAGTCAGATGTTCCCACACAGAATTATTGTCTGCCTGCTAATGGAGATGATGTGGGATAGTGTCAAAACCTTGTTGGTCTCTCATAGTCATTAGAAGAGGGTAGAAATGCTAATCTCATTTTATACATAACATTCTTTTGCAATTGTCTAAAGATAAATATTAGGGTTATCATAACTGATCTGCATTTTCTATATCTCTTTGTTACCATCCAGCATTTTGCAGATCCTAATATATACAACAATGTTCAATGTTTAATACACACATACACACAGAGACACAAGTAATCTTACCCCAATAGCTACTAAAATTGGAGTTTGATATATCCATTTTATATTTCCAGCATTAAGCTCCCAGCATCTGCGAAATCAAGAATCTATTTTTAATAAATAGAGTAAAAATAAACAGTCTCAGTGTATATTCATTTTCTGTTAAGATTCATTCTGGAGAATGTACAGAATAAATTTCAGAATTTTAAAAAGGATTGCGGGTTCATTCAACTGTAATAAACCAAGGCAGGTTTCTGGGAGAAGAAGAATAAATATATATGTCAAGTTCCATCTTTACTGTGAATCTGAAAAAAATAAGAAAACCAAGGTGCAATTTTCAGAAATAGTAAAATAATAAACACTTTTTCTTAGTTGGACTAGTTTTGGGATGGAAGGTGGAGGGTTCAAATATCGGAATGTCCAGCTAAAGTCTGAAAAAATATGTGTGGAAGAACATGTGCACATGGGGGAGGGTTTACAGTTTCATTCTGATCCCATTCACCTTATATGTGTTTTTAGGGCTAGTTATTCATTTTACTTATTAGAATTGGCTCTAGTAAAATAAAAAAAGAAGTGGCATTCAGTAGCTTACGTGTGGCTTAAAACAGAATTAAAAATTTACTATTATAAACCGAAACTAAAATACACTTGCTTGAAAGATAAAGAATGTGAAAAGTCCAGGGAAATTTTTTTTTTAAAAAAAAAAACCCTCCTGTTGTTGCTAAAATAGCCCAGTAAGCTTTTCTATGTTGGATATCCAATAGGACAAAATACTGTAACCATTAAGCAACTTTCCCTCTTTGTCCTCTGCCTCAATTCTGCTGTTGGGGTTTTCCGGTATTGACTGTACTCCAATGTTCAGTGCCTGCCCAGCCAGCTGTGAGAGGAGACCACCAAAGAAGTCTGGGTCCTGAACATTCCAAGAGATTCAAAGAGGGCCATCAGCTCTAACTCAGAAATGAACTGGGTAAAAAGGAACAAACAGTTTAAATGGAATTTACTTCTTTAGATTGATTCCTGTGGAGCATATCACATCTTCAAAGGACTGGTTTGCAATGGAGAAATACACTACTGCATTTTATGAATCCAGAAAATAGATTTATGCCTGGCTAAGGATGCAGTTCACATAAATGTTTTCTATGGAGATGTTGAACTAATTTGAAGAAATAAAGCAAGCAAATCAGGAAACAGCCTTTCATTGAAAAAAAATGACACCACAAATTCTCACTGATCTAAAATTAGTATCAGCTACTTCTGCATAGCAAACAATAAATGTGTCAGATGTTGAAGTATGGGGTAAACAATGGCTACTTCCTGATGTAAAGTACCTCTTGAAGTGAGGAATTATGTAATGTCCTTCTTGGCTGTTTTTCATCTGAAACTTTACCCATTAAGCTTTTTTACGTCTATCTTAAAGCTATGAACCAGCACATTTGGAAGGCAAGTGTAGCAGCAAAAGGCAATTGGAAAGAAAGGGTTAAACATACAAAGGCTCAAGAATAGAAAATCAATACATTTTTTTAATCACTCAGTACTAAAAAAGTTGTAACTAAAACTGGAATCATCCACACCTTATTTTCAACCTCTGGAGGCTATGCGATTCAATTCAGGGGCTATTTAAGCACACTGAAAACCACTTTGGTCTAGCAGTGCTGGGTAAGAAACCAGGAGACTAGAATTCTAATCCTGAACTTAATCATGAAAGCCAGTTGGGTGATTTTGGGTCAGTCACTGTCTCTCAGCCGAACTCACTTCACAGGGTTGTTGTTGTGGAGCAAATGGGAGGAGGAAGGAGTATTAAGTATGTTTACTGCCTTGAATTACTCATAAAGCTGGGATAAAATCTAATAAAAAATAATCTTCAGATAGTTTGGATCTTAAAATCTGATTTGCAGATTGCTTTTTCACAAATAAGAAAAACATACATGAAAAGACAGCTGGGGATTCTATATCTCTAGGAAAAGATTGTGAGACTAGAATAGCCACTGTGAATAAGTCAATGTCTTTTAGAAATGAGGTGACTATTTGAAATTGGATGGTAAAAATGTGAGCATCCTGGTTTCATTAATAAAGCCACCCAATTCGGATATGCGCATCCCAGCTGAAGTTGCTCCTGTTCAAGTTGTTGCTTACACTGACCTGCATTATTTGGACCTAGAGATCCTGTGATGTTTAATTCTCTACAACCTCAGCCAGCAAAAGACAGCCCTTCCTGCATAATCTAGAAGGCTGTGGAAGGCATCTAACACCATTAAAGTTGAGAAAGTGGTATCTGTTTCAATTACTTAGAATTCCCAATGTTCAACAGTATAGGAACTATCACATTTTTATTTTACAGGGCCACTTACAAGTTCCACTTCATCCTAGAAACTGATCTCTGTGAAGACTCTTTCAATACACAAGCAACATGAGCTCTTTTTATACGCAGGTATACCTCATTAAGGCTTCATAGCATTTCCTCTAGCTCATCTCTCCCTCCTAACAAGCTACTGGAAATGAGAGAGGGAATTTAACTTGGGGGGGGGGGGAGAATTCTGGTGAACCTGGAAGTCTGCTTGTTAGTTTGTGCTGTTTTATTTTGTGCTGATTAAAGCATTCTAATCCTGTTTGGGTTCTACAACTTGTCCTGCTACAACATAATGAAAGGGAGCAGCTGTAGCAAATAGCTGTCTGGCATTTCAGTACTCTGAGAAGCATTACTTTTCTACAGCAACATTAACACTAAGGAAAGAGAGTATTACTGTGCAGCAACTGGCTTCCTTCCAGTTCTCTGAATATTTATGAGTTTTAGTGCAACGCCTCCTTGAGTAAAATTCAGGTTATCTTGAAATCAGAGTCTATCAATCTCATTTTAGGGGGTGGGTATACATTTCTTATAAAGGAAATGAACCTTTAGCAACCCAGATTTTTTGAAACTTGGATTCTCTTCAGAATTAAGATGAGATAGATGGGTGTCTAGAAACCAACTGCTTTCTGCTCATTGCTGTGTAGTATAAAAGAACAAAACTCCTTTCCATATAATTGGGTTATAGGAAAATGCAGCATGTCCCCAGCATCCACAAATAGCATGAAGTTACTAACTGTCCACAATAAGATCATAAACACAACTTTGACTCTTCTACCACTTCAGAAGTTTACTTCTCCCTCCTCCCCCAGTAAATACATAATTAGGACAAGGCCTAGATATAATAATTTAAAAATCGGTTTTAATCATGAAGGGACAGATATTGTTTAACTCTTTTTAACTGAGCATAATTGTGTCACTATCAAAGCATTAACAGTGGCCATTTTTTCATCACAAATGTTTAAAAGGAAAACCTTCTACAAAAACTTGGCTGCTGTCCTGAGTGCAAAATCCTCTCCCTTTAAAAGTGCCAGATAGGAGACAAAAAAAAAAAAAAAAAAACCATAGAAAGCTGGTGGTGGCATTTTACTGAGAACTTTATCCTCTTTAGGGTGAGGAAATATGGATGGTGGAGGTGGAAACGATGGGCAAAGAGGTGCTAAGCTCCAGTCCTGGTGGCAAAGCTCAAGGAGGAGACAAGAGGCAGTGAGAATCTCTAAGCTGCTCCTTTCAGATTTGTTTCTGAAACCTTCACAGCCATACATAAGAAAATAATATTGTCAGAAATAGCTCTTGGCAAAGAATATGCAAGCACAGCCTGATATATGACAAAATCATCCTCCCACACACATCTTTTTAAGAGCAATAAATTATTTAAATGCCACTTTCCTTCCTGAAAGAAATGTATCATAAGAAGAGTTCATTCTTTTTAAAAAAAAAATTAGAAAATTACATATTCTAACTTTTTCTCCTGATAACATTTTGGTAATTTTAATAAGCCTTAAAGATGTAAAGTGAGAACTGAGACATACAAAACATTTCTAAAGTACTGTTCCACTGGAAGAAGTGTTAACAACAGGTAGTTACTTATCTTGAAAATAATGGTGTTAGATCAGCCTAAGGGCAGAGAATGCGATCCCTTTTCTGAGACTAAGCAAGCCTGGGTAATCATCAGGTCCTTAGATAGGGAAGCTACCTAGAAATGCACAATGCACTTGCCTTCAATTACATAATTTGTGTGCAGTAAATGAATAGATTTGGTTTCCATAGTGCTTAATTCTGCCTTATTTGCACGTTTTGTAGTGAGTTTTTAAAGAAATTTTTTGATGCTATTCTTAAGAACATGTCATATTAGTTTCAGTTGAGGAGGCCAGGGGATGTAAATAAGACATTTGGATTAAATAAGATTAAACCAGTTTTTATCCAAACTAATTCCAGTAACTTTCACCAAATCAGACTGACTGAATGGACCTATAAATGCTGTTTTGTAATGCGGAATGGTCCAGATGTTTTAAAACTGTCATTTTATTAATTTATTTTTAAATCCAGTCTTTATTACTTTTATAAGTAACTCAGTGCAGTTAACATACATAATACTCCTTCCTCCTATTTTCCCCGCAACTCTGGGAGGTGAGAAAGGATGGGCTGCGAGAGAGTGAATTTGGCTGGCTTTCATGCTTAAGGTAGGACTAGAACTCATAATCTCCTAGTTTTTAGGCCAGCATCTTAACCATTACACCTTAAGAAATTCTAGACTATAACTATTATTCAATCTCAAGTTCCTTCTTCTCGGTTCTTTTTTAATGAAGCAAATTACATGGACTCCTAATTTTTTATCTAGGCTTGGTACCAAAAATAGCTGGTTTTCTCTGATAGAAGATCTCTATTAAATAAGTAAGGAAATTGCAGTTTTGAAGATTCTCCAAGACCTATCACCATCTTTGATGACTCTGGTTACAGTGTATTGGTAGCATCATCAGTGAGCTATGTGTGAAAGCAGGACACAATTATTTCACTCTGATCTTTAAGAGAAAGTTTCAAAAAGACAGAATTAATGACCATTTTAAACAGATTCTATAGAACCTTTTTGTGGGTTCCTGTGACATTCTATCCTAAGTCCCACATTCTTAAAAACCTATATGAAGCTCTTGGATGAGACCAGCCAAAGGTTTTAGACTGGCTGAAGTGTCATCAGTCTGCTGTAACATTCGATCTATCAGACAAATTAGATGAGGATGGTGAACTAG